GCACATGGTGTGCACTCTCTCCCGCGAAACACTTGATCTTTACTCCTTTGTTGACTTTGATCCAAGGGTTGTGCATGCGGTTGCACCTTATTTTGGTGGACTGCGAAGCACTGGATCGAATCTCCTTTGTTCCAGCATTGCCTTGCCGTCGCCGGCGATACTCCGGTCGCCAGAAAATCGCCGAAAAATTGTAGAAAATTAATAAAAATTCCCAGAAAATTAAATTAAGCCCAAAAAATTCCAGAAAAATTCCGGAAAAATTTCAAAAAATTTTAGAAGCCTAATTTAACCCTTTTTGACCTTCTTGAAGCTTAATAGCATTTTTTGATGAAGATTATATGGCTTTAAAAATATTTATAATTTGAAATACAATGGAAAAAATTAAATTATATCATTGAACTTTCAAACGGCAAAATCAAAGCCTTAATTACATTCATCCAAAGATAAAATTACATTAATTTAACCTATAAGTTTCATCCATAGCCCAAACATACATCATCATCCATTCACAATTATACATACATCATCATGTATTAATATATATCAACATATATCAATAAATTTATATATGCAAAAAAAATTTGGATCCATGAATGATGATTTTCATAAAAAAACATGATCTCTCGTAATGAGTCAAACCATACTCTGATACCACTATTGGGAAACGTACAAGTTTTAAAAACTTTCTGAGGGATTTTCATACATAGATCTTGATTCATCACATAGAGACAAGTTTTATGCAAAAATAAAATATGATGTATCATTCAATTAATATATTGAATACTTACATCAAGGTTTGAGTAAATCTTTGATCTCTCCTCTAAAGTGAAAGTTCTTACTTATTGTAGATCCCTTTGCTAGATGTCTTTTTCATGGATCTCCATTTTCTTGGTAATGGTCTTGCCTTTAGGAATCACTCATAAGCCTCAATGAATGACCTTGGAAAAATAGGCTTGTAGGAACCTCTATTAGATGAGAACACAAACCCTAAAAATCTAGAGAAAGAAAATATATTTTTCCTTTTCTTCTCAAAATTCACCCCTAAAATATACATGAACCCATGTATATATAGGCAACATAAAAATAAGAAAAGGAAACAATAAATCATTCTCAATCTCTAATTCACATATCTAAAATCTAATAGATTCAAATATCAAGTTGGGCTATGAGTGAGAATCCTATTAGGCTTATTATTTTCTTGGCTATAATGAATTAATAATTGGCCCGGTCCATAGACCCAATTGAATTAATTTCTACTCCACTAAAAGAAATTAATTGAACTCCAATTAAATAATAAATAACCTCTAAGTCAATGTTGCACTTTGACCCCTCTATACATAATTAGTTATCGGATAAACAAAACTATCAATCCGATTACTTAATTAATATATTTATTTTGGTACCTTTAACTATTTCCGACTTGATCACAATAAAATGTTTATTTGACAGAAATAATAATTTAAATAAATAAATATATAATAAATCATTTTGTCTAAAAACACACGAATGCCTTCGAATTTACTTTGTGATCAACCATAATCAATACAAAATAAATATAAGTAGCAATGATGCAAATATTGAAAATATAACCCTCTAACTATGAATTACATAATTACCCAAAGTGCCGGTCTAAGGATTCTGAAGATACCGCCAAACAAATCAAAGTAATTACTAATTAATTAGAAGAGTCTATACTTCTCTCATGCTTAAAAGTCAAATGCCATGACGGTGATAAGGAGCAATTGCATACGACGGCTCTCGCAATATTTCTCAACCTAATGCGGATCTAGTTCAAGTCTTAGTTAATAATGAGTCCATCTATAATTACCGACTATAAACAATTTATGATTATTATTTATATTCATGTATTGATCGCCATCATATACATATATAAATATCTTTTGTAATCAAATGGATACTATCAATTCTAGAATGAATCGAAACATAATACATTGAATTCACCAATTATATAAATCATAAATATTTCAGATATGTCAGGAACATATGTCACTATAATCCAAAAAGGAATTTGCGATGCCAGGGCATATAAATCCCAACACATTCTTCTTTAGTCTTCTTTTCCCCCCAACCTAAAATAGAGATTATATAACGTTCCTTCCATGTTCATAAATTCTATCACACTCCCGATCCTTCTAAATTTACCTGTACTAGGTGAGCCTTTATTTATTTTTGACCAGCTTCATTAGAGACTTTGCCTCCTAGGAGACATGATTAGTTTTGTCCATTGTCATCTGGCCAATTCATTTTCTATCACATATATCTGGCGTTGGTTTATTTTGGAATTTATATCTCCTTGAGAAATGTTCTCAGAGATTGGTTTTAGAGGGCACTTTGCTGTAGTGCAAAATGACCTCGCTGTAGTGCACTTTTCTTCTTTTTTGCTTTCTACTCCTATAATTTCTTCAGAATATAAGATCAAATTCCCTAATAGTATTTTTCTAGTCATAAGTAAGTTTTTACTGTATGTATACTTATATCAAAGAACTTGAGTGCAAGTCTTCTGTTTGACAGAGGAGGAACCTAAAGGAAACTGCATATCTTACTAGTGTTCAGGAGCTTATTGATGATACTGATTGTAATTGTCATTCTGGTATGTGTTAACCAAACTCATCTTTGTTGACAATGAAACAATATCGTAGATTTGAACAAATTTAACTAGTGCATCCTACTAATATATAGCTTTACAGGTCTGCTGGACATTGTAAGACACTGCACATATATTAGGACGGTGGATGATGTTTTTGTGCTGTTTCAGTATAATACTAACCTATATCTTGCAAACGTAGTGAACTTGAGGTAGTTATACTGTTTTACACGTTTCCTGAAATAATGTGGAATTAAATATAGAACAGCTAAGTATGAGGAAAATTTTCTGGCCAAAATTCACATTCATTATATTTGTTTCCAAAACCTTTGTAATTGGTGAAGTTAAAAGATGCGCTCAATTTTACTTTCCACTGATGAAGTTAAAAAGTGCACTTAATTCTATTTTCCGAAACTATTTTGTGCCTTCTATTTGTGCTCTGTTCTTTAAATTCTTACTTGTGGAGGGAAAAAATCCCCCCTCCAGTAAGAATTGTCCACGTCATCACACTACAAATTTTTATTAGATTCAGCAAGGGCCCGATCAGTATCAAGCCCAAATCGGGAGAACCCAATCTGGAACAAGCCTAGGCAAAGTCTTGCTTCCATATGACTGCTGACTCAGGCCATTCGGCCCATTTACTAAGCCCAGATGCATACAATCTTATTTAGGCCTAGTGAAGATGTCAACAGCCTGGGGCGCCAAGGCTGAACTCCAAGCCCATATACTAAATCATTTGGATCAGCCCACACGCAGCCCAATCTCAATTAAAGGTAGACCAGTCCCGCTAGACAAAAGATTCAGCAAAGAAAGCAAGTTCTGCGCAAGGAAAGTTTTACATGGAAAGAATTGTAAAAAGGAAAGGATTATAATTGTAAAGAATGTCATATATGGAATGGATTGGAGGGCAAGCCAGGCGAGTCCTACCATAATTCCACCACCTTGTTTCTTATAAATAGAGGCCTAGACCTCCAATAAAAGTATCGACCATTATATGCTTATCTCTGAGTATTATAATTGCTTATTTTTTGAGTGAGTTGTATTTTTCTTTTTATTTTAATAGAGAGAGAAATTTGGCACCTACACTTTGGCGCCGTCTGTGGGAAACGTATAGAAATATACTCCCACCTTTGTTTCAAATTGTTTCATTTTCCATGATCTGGAATGTCGAACGGAGAATCAATAGCGGCTGATCAGCAGATGGAGTTGATGCAAAAGATGCATGAAGAGTTCTTGCACCAATTTGAAACACTTCGTCAGGCGAACGAAGCCAGCGTAGCCCAGATTGCATTGCTTCAACAGCAAAATGACACCCTTCAAACTGCTATGGCTCAATTGATATCTCAGCCACCACCAATTGATGTGGCTGCACCTCTTCCTAGCCAAAACGCTCTTCAGGTTAATGAGCCTCAGGTCAGTAAGGTTCGGCCTAAAGAAGTTCGACCTAATGAGGTTCAGCAAGAGCAAAGGACGAGGTTCGAGGCAGTTGCTTTGGACAATCTTCCTCGTCACACACAGGACGATTTGGCCGAGTCCAACCGTAAGCTTATGGTATGGTCTAATGGTGTTCCAGATGGTGTAGGAGTAAAAGAGGCCTTTAGCGAGAAGAGACTCCTGAGAGTTCAAACGCCTGCTGAGATGGCCAAGGAACATAAGAATTCTCTCGTGAAAACACCATTCACTGACGATGTATACCTTATTGACAGACCTAAGAAATTCTATGCCTTACTTTACCCAGTTTGATGGTACGGGAGATCCTTCTCGGCACCTAGATCACTACGCACAGAAGATGGCTCTGGACGATCACAATGATCCGTGGTTATGCAAAGTTTTCCCTACCAGTCTAACAGGAGCTGCGCTGGAGTGGTTCGGGAATAGGCCATACAAATCCATTCCAGACTATGAAACTCTGAACACTATGTTCCTGGCGCAGTATTGCAGAAATAAGAAGCAAAAGAAGAGCATTACTAGCCTCTTCACTATAAGGCAAAAGAAAGGTAAAACATTACAGGATTTTTTGTCCAGATTTAACATGGAGGCTTCAGAAATAGCAGATTACCATCCTGCTACCGTAATAGAGACGTTCAAACTTGCAATGATTCAGGGAACTAAGTTCCATACATCCCTAGTTAAATATTCCCCTCCGGATATGCAGACTCTCAATGCTAGGGCACAGATCTACATCTGGCTTGAGGATAATGTAGCCTACCGAGAGCAACATGCCACCCTTGTCACAGTGGAGAACAAGCCTCAGGAAAGGGTTTCAAATTCAAAAAGCCGAAAAAGCTAGCACGCTTCAACGCCAATCATTCAGGTACCTAAGAAAAGGCTAAGGATAGAGGAAAGATTCACACCTCTTCGCACAACCTTGGCTCGGCTATTCCAAAAGAATAAGATGAAGTTTGCAGCCCCTCAGCCAATAAAACAACCTTTGGAGCAGAGAGACAAGAACAAGCACTGTGCATACCATAGAGATTACGGGTATACAACTAATGATTGCAGATCCCTTAGGCGGCAGGTGGAAAACATGATAATGAGAGGTGAATTGGCGGACTACCTCACAACAAAGGAGTACATGAAGCCCCGGGAGGTCAATCATCGGAAAGTCGAAGGTAATCAAGTGAAGGTCATCCATGCAATACATGGAGATCGGAGGATGATCAAGAGTCAGAGGAGGTATATAGATCTCGATTGAGGACAGCCCATAAGCTAAGAAAATTATCCTCAGTGAACACTATCACTTCAGGAAGAGTCAATATTGGGTTCGGCAATGGAGATCTATCCTCAGTTCAACTTCCCATGAGGATCCGTTGGTCATCAGTCTCTTGGTGGCAAATTGCATGATTAAGAGGGTTTTGATATATCTAGGTAGTAGTGCCAATATCATCACAAAGGCGGTCTTTGAGCAGCTAAAGATTCTGTCATCATCAATTCAGCCCACATCCAGCCCCTTGATGGGGTTTGATAGCACAAAGGTGGACCCTCTTCAGGTAATTAACCTGTTCGTGACTGCGGCAAAGAGGACACTGAGGGAGAACTTTATTCTAATAGAGATCCATCCTTCTTATAATCTTATTATGGGAAGAGGCTGGATCCACCGAATGAACGGGGTTCCATCTACCCTTCATCAAGTGATGAGATGCTTGTCGCTGGACGGAAAAGAGGTTATTGATCTTAGGGGAGATCAATTTGCTGCCAAAGAATACTATATGTTGGCACAGAATGAAGCAAAGAAGGTAACAAAATAGTCCTAACCAATTGCACCTCCTGGGAGTATGTCCAAATAGCAATTATAGAACCTTCTGCCTAGGTATTTGAAAGCAGAGGATGAAACCGAAGTTACAAAGCCTACTGAGGAGTCTTTGGAGGCTGTTGAAGTAATCCTCGGCTTTCCTTAGAAGGTCACCTATATAGGTTCTTCCCCCACAGCCGAAGAAAAGAAAGCATTAATTGATGTCATTCGACGGAACGCAGATGCATTTGCTTGGGAACATTCAGATATGATAGGAATCAATCCTTTAGTCTTATGCCATAGCCTGAAGGTAGATATGGTGTTTAAACCAGTCAAACAAAGGCACATAAGGTTCGCTCCTGAGCACAATCGAATTATAGCTAAAGAAGTAAGCAAATTGCTTCAGGTGGGCTTCATCCGAGAGGTGCACTACCCACAATGGCTCTCTAACGTGGTGGTAGTCCAGAAGAAGAATGGAAAATGGAAGGTGTGCATAGATTTTACCAATCTTAACAAAGCCTGCACTAAAGACAGCTTTCCATTACCCAAAATAGATTAGATGGTTGATGCTACTACTGGTTTTGAAAGGCTTACATTTCTTGATGCATACTCCGGCTATAACCAAATCCCTATGAATCCAGAGGATGAAGAGAAAACTGTTTTCATAACAGAGAAAGGCACTTACTGTTATAGAATTATGCCCTTTGGACTCAAGAATGCTGGGGCAACTTACCAGCGCCTTGTTAACAAGATCTTCGACGAGATGTTGGGAAAGACGGTCGAGGCCTATATCGACAACATAGTGGTCAAAAGTGTGAAGAAGGAGGAACATCCTAAGCACCTCCAAGAGGTCTTTGACACTTTAAGAAGGTATGGTATGAAGTTAAACCCTTCGAACTGCTCCTTTGCGATTTCTTCAAGACAGTTCCTCGGCCATATTGTAAACAAAAGGGGAATTGAGGTGAGTCCGGCTCAGGCTCAAGCCCTTATACAAAATCAAGAACCAAATACAGGTTTTGACAGGTCGAGTCGTAGCTCTCAGTCGATTTATCTCTTGATTGTCAGATAAATGCAAACCATTCTTTGATGAAATAAGATCCAAGAGCAAACACATATGGGGACCTCAACAGTAAGCTGCTCTCAACCAACTGAAGTACTATATGGCTGAACCCCCAATTCTGTCGGCTCCGAAGCCTAGTGAAACTCCTATCATGTACTTAGCAATCTCCAGCATAGCCACGAGTGCAGTATTGATTAGAAAGAAGGTAAGAATCAGTATCCAATCTTCTACACTAGTAAGACAATGACAGATGCAAAAATACGATACAGCAAAGCAGAGAAGATCATACTAGCATTAGTGTATGCAAAGAGAAAGCTTTGGCACTACTTTGAGTCGCACAGCATCAAAGTTCTTACCAACTACCCCATACGAGTCATTCTTTCCAAGCCAGGCTTATCCGGAAGAATAACTAAATGGGCAATTGAACTCAGTTCCTTTGAGATATCCTATGAACCGAAGGTGTCACAAAAAGGACAAGCACTGGTTGATTTCCTCTTGGAGTATGAGGATAAGCCTGAAGAGCCAGGTCCTTCCGAGCCACAATGGGAGCTTCGGGTGGATGGTTCCTCGAACCTGATTAGAGCCGGTGCCGGAATCATTATCATAACCCTCGAAGGTACCAAGCTGCAGCAATCAATTCGTCTGACTTTTCCTGCCACTAACAATGAGGCAGAATATGAGGCCTTGCTCGCAGGACTTCGGTTAGCAAACCAGCTCCAGGTAAGGTGTTTAAAAGTTTTTAGTGATTCTCAACTTGTTGTGAATCAGGTAATAGGCCAGTATCAGACCAAAGAAGATAAAATGAAAGCCTACAGGGAGGCTGTGGAGAGTGCCTCGCGAGGGTTTGATCAAATCGAATTCCATCAGGTACCTCGTGAGGAGAATTCTGAAGCAAATCAGTTGGCTGCAGTAGCGTCTTCTTCAGATGAAGATTTGGTCCAGATCGTACTAATTGACATCCTGGACGAACCAAGTATAAGCCCTCGGTAGGAGATAATGGTGATCCCAGATGTTCTATGCGAACCATGTTGGATGGATCTATTGGAAGCTTACCTCAAGGAAGGAACTCTTCCGAACTAGAAGGCTGAGGCACGGAAGCTCAGGCTCACTGTAGCCAAATATTCTATCATCAATAATCAATTATATCGGAAGTCATTTTCAAGTCCTTACCTGAAATGTTTAAGTCCCACTGAGGCCCTCACGATTCTAAAATATATTCATGATGGGGATTATGGCAACCACTCTAGAGGAAAATCCTTGGCACATAAGGTCCTAACTCAAGGTTATTTCTGGCCTTAGTTGGCTCAGAATGTTGAAGAGTATGCTAGAAGATATGACAAGTGCCAGCAACATAGTCCAATAAAACATCAACCCACTGAAGATTTGCACGCAATGGCAAATCTATAGCCATTCGGTCAATGTGGGATTGATATGGTTGGTCCTTTACCCAAAATTGTGGAGAAAAAGGAATACGTGTTGTTAGCCATGGATTACTTCACTAAATGGGTTGAAGCCGAAACTTACTCAAGCGTGACTCATGAACAAGTGAAGAGTTTTCTATAGAACAACATAATTTGCCGATTTAGGGTGCCGAAGGTTATCATGATGGACAATGGCCCGAACTTGGATAACCGAAGCACAAGAAAGTTCTTCGCCGAGCATAGGATTAGGCAGAAGCTGGCTATAATTAGCCATCCTCAAGGAAATGGGTTGTAGTAACCCTCAGATCTGAGACACGGGTTGATCAGGCCCAGGCCCAAACCCAAGGGAAATATCAAACAATTAATACCCAATACAAACACAGAATACAAGATGAAATAATAAGAAGTAAATAAAAATAGCTGAAATGAATTACAATGAAAAATCTTCAAAATATAATTATTAAAATCCAAACTCCAAAACCTCCAATTATTTAACAACTCGGGAATCCATCTAGTGGATACCTAATAAAAAATCCCAACTGTAAAATAAACTAACTATAATCAAAATCCAAAGCTAATTAGGAAGCAGTCCTACGTAGTCGGTGGAATGGAAGTCTATATCTGCTCTGCACGACCAAGCTCTAACCCTGAAATTGACGAGTACTCGAAAAATAAAAGAGTGGGTCAAGCCCACATGCAAGTCCTATTCTACTACGATCCAAACATAAACCCAATCCATAAAATCTTAGATAGACTTAACAATATCTAGAGTAGTCCATATATGTATAGTTACACATTATAGGATGCTCACTAGTCCAATAGGTCTGTCTCAGCCTGAGTAGAGATACCATGCAAATCGCACATAATGTGGTCATGTGTACCTAGACCTACCAAGGAACAACACCTATGTCCAGTTATCTATCCTCGGCGATATACGCACCCTAACCAAGGTCTTGAAACTCAAGCTCATACCATTGCACCATAATGATATGTATATAATGTCCGTATACTCCTAATACAAACTAACATCCATCTGTTGTAGTGGTCTGATATAAGTATAACAATCCATCCAGAAACCAAAAAGGTCATTCAATTCTTTATTGATATGACACAAATATGAGTAGGACTAAACCTTTATGGTAAATCCACACCTTAATCCAGAATAGGCAGGTTATAATGTTTGAACTAATCCATACCTAGTATGCCACCGTCCCATACCGATGCATACCATCCTCCATCCAATATAGTTGACAAATCAATAATAAATACTCATCAACCATACTCCAAAATAAGGGTAATCACAGTCTATGATATGTATGACCAATTTATGTAGCCAATTTAAGGTTTAGAAATTCTATTCCAGTCTTTTAAATTGACGAAGTAAGACTACAACTCCTCCAAACAATCCATAGATTGATGTAGTTATATAAATTACAACATTAAAATCAGGTACTCCAATTTAAGCATAAATATTTCAAGTGATCAACTGTGCTTATTACAGTGTTACAACATAATTAACTGTATTAAATCATGTAAATATAAATTGTTAAAAATTCCAGTAAGCAATTTAAACTAACTGTCTAACCTTCCACATGCAAGCTTCCTGTTTAATCCTATGTTGGTTCATGCTTCAACATAATTATATTAACATGCTTCCCAATATTTCTACATGCTTATAACAATTATATAGACCATGATCTGTAATTTAGACAATTTAACATTAATCCGAACTGCCCCACCGAACCCCAAACCATCGAAAAACCACAAAACTGGAAAAAGAGCCGCCTCCAAAACAAGGGAGCCGGCTCTCCCCTTGGTGGAGCAGGCTCCATGCTAGTGGGAGCTGGCTCTACCCCTTGTAGAGCCAGCTCCACCCATGTGGGAGCCGGCTCTCTCATCCCTAGAGCCGGCTCCTTCCTTTGGTGAGCCGTCTCTTCTTCGTTGAAAGCCGTAACGCCTTTCCGGTTGTCTTTTTCGCCTCTGGTGACATGCATGACCCTCTGCACAGTTTTTATTTAACTACCTAGGGTTCCATTGATGTCCAAAATTAATTATAAGCATACCTCCAATCCCAAATACACAAAGGTTATGCAAGATTAAAACCAATGCAAACAAATTTTTAAGCACGAATAACTTTCAATCACAAAACATTTTTGAATACAACGATTTAAACTTAATTTAGACATGCTTGTATGAATAAAATAAATTCAATTTTAAGTCCTAGAGACCACCTAAGCATGCACAGACCACAGGCTTAAGGGAAGGAGTAGAACAGAGACTTGTCTTTGAGACTTTGAATAAAAATCTCTAACTGTTGCCTCTATCGTCTCCAGTCACGTTGGTTGTGTTAAACAACTCTTGCTGCTCCTATTACAGTCCAGTAGGCCACACCAAACTTCCCTCCTTGATTCTGTTTTGTGAATCACCCAAGTTCACTCTCCAGTTCTCTCTCTGTTTTCCTTCTGTATCTCACAGTCTCTGTTTTTACAGAACTTACGTTTATTTTTTCTAAACCCTAAACCACTGTATTGCGTATATTTATAGGTGGAATTTAATGACCCTAGTTCATGAATAATTAGACTAAGCCCTAATTCCAATCCTAGTCGGCCCATGAGACTATCTATGTTTTCCTATGGCGGCTTCCTAATTCCAATCATAGTCAGCCCATGAAACTATCTATGTTTC